CTCCGGGCTTCCGTTTTCAATATACAGGGCGTAAAAAAAATTCAGCTCTGCTCCTATCTCAGGAACCGTTCGAGCTACGGAGCTGAGCCTTTGTACATGCTTCATCATTAATAATGACTACTTCTGAGGCTCTTGATCAATCTCCTTGGACATGTCAGTGACGGAGAGTTCAACGCCTCGTAAGGGTCACATACAAAAATCTCGTATCTCTGAAAATTGTCTAAAAATCATAAAAAATTATAGAATGATTTTGTATGTTTTTATTCATAACTCGCCATTTTTCTCGAAAACTGTTCACTTCAGAGCATTGAAGCAAGAGGACCGTTTTTGTGTGAAAGATGTTGGCGCTTCAGAATGTGCTTTGAAAATTACAATTTCTCCAGTGGCATGAAAGTTTGGGGGGTTAAACCCTCACGAGGCGTTGAACTCTCCGCCACTGACATGTTCGAGGAAATTGATCAAGAGCCTTAAAAGTAGTCATTATCAATGATGGAGTGTGTACTAAGGCTCAGCTCCGTATCTCAAACGGTTCCTGATAAGTTCCTGATAAGAGCAAAAAACTCCTTTTTTTTTGACGCCCTGTATATTGAAAACGAATGCCCGGAGGAAAATTTCGTGAAGAAAAAGAATTCCTCTTTTTTCGTTAGAAATCTACAGTTTTTCGCTGTGGCACTTATTTGTTATCACCCTGTATAAATTTTTAAAAGGAACACCCTGTAATTTATTGCATTTTTAGATTTTCCCTGAAGAGCTGGTTCTATCGATCTATCACAGTTGGGGTTTAGCTGAAATGATAACAGAGATATAGGGTGTGCAAAATTGAGATTTTTTCAACTTCAGGAATTTTTTGTGTTGAAAATATTCCTTATTGGCAAAAACGGTTTTCATGGCCTCATCATAATTCTAAATTTATTATCAAATGACATTTAATTGAAACGAATACAGGTTGGTTCAAAATTCAGAATTCGGAATAGTCAACTGAATTTTCCAATTTTTTTGTTTACAGATCGGCCCTTTTCCCATGGTGTCCCTTTGACAGGGCGTACGTCCGCCTTCGCCAGCACGTCCAGGGTCGGACCACCGCCCACCCCACCGTCAGGAGGAACGAATTCTCCGTGAACCTACCCCCGAGGGGCGTCCATCCCCCTCCTTTCCCCTCGTCGAGCGTCCCGACGCCACCATGGAGCGGGAATCGAACCCGATGCAGGCGTTGTGCCGGTCCGGGTGCGGATTTTACGGAAGCCCCGCCACTGACGGGCTGTGCTCGCTTTGCTTCAAGGTAGGTGAAGAAGTTCCAAATTTTCTCCACTTGTTCGACCAAAATTTGAAATTACGAATTTTTTTATTTTTGACCCTTGGAAAAAAAATTGGAACGCCCCTGAAGTCGGTACTGTGATTTTTTTTCCAATGACTATTCCACTCTTGATCTCGAAAACCAATCAGAATCGACCATTTTCACGGTTTCTTCTGTATTCTAGCGATATTTTTTGTTTATTAAATTTTATCGGACTTGCTCTACCAATACAGAAGCCGAATTGACCCACACGTGACCAACAAACCTCGTTTATCAGCGATAAAATTTTGACATCGTGTCTGGTCAAGATTGCTTTGTCTTTAAATCTGACACAAGAGACAATAACCTAAGTATCTACTTCATTTTATTTACTTATAATTCACGTTAGTGAGACATTTTGTACGAAAGGCGAGACAATTTCATTCTGGCTGGACGTTTCATGTGTAATTTAATAAGTTTGCATATTTGTTGACGGTCTGACAACAATACTAGAATTCAAATTCCCATTTGAAGTAATCTTCTTCAGTCACTCAAGTTATTGTGACCAATAAAATCTAGGTGATGTGGCTCAACTGATAGGGTTGTTACGCGGTGATACGAAGGTCGGTGGTTCAAGCCCGTCGGCGACAATAATTTTTTTTTTCAATTATTCCATGTCACATAAATTCAATTTATTTTCTTCAAATTGTATAGCAAATGTATACACCATCTCCAAGATAATAAACAAAATACTGTTCATCAAAATTGTACATTCCACTTCGTGAATTACTATAAGTAGATAGTTAATTTCTAAAAAATTGAATTCTGTATTTCATTACTATCATTATGTTCTTCTTCGCAGTTTGAGTTGGAATATACTTGAATTATGTTTCCTATTTCTTATATATATTGTCTCATTCAATCACGAAATAGTCATACGAATACAACTCGTGATACTATTTTTCCTGGAAATATTCGTTGATTGACATACTCCAGCTTGCTGCTCTAATTTCGCTCATGACATTGATCCAAAACTACTCGCCTACGGCTCGTAGTTTTGATAACAATGTCATTCACGAAATTACTAGGCAACAAGCTGTCGTAACAATCACCGAATATTTCCGGCAAAATATTATCACTTGTGGTATTATATATGATGATATTTGAATGATTTCGGAAAAATTTTGTTTCTTTTTTAATTTTTGACCTCCGAAAATGATGTTGATACGCCCATAAAGTCATGATATCTGGAGAAGGGTTCTGAGGAAGCTCCGCCACTGACGGGTTGTGCTTGCTCTACTTCAAGGTAGGTGAACATCTCCCAAATTGTTTCGCTTGTTTGACTAAAATCTCAATTTACGATTTTTGTTTTATTTTTGACCCCTTGGAAAAAAACTGGAACGCTCCTGAAGTCGTTATTGTGATTTTCTTTCCAATGATGAAATTTGAATGGTATCGAATTTTTGACCTCAGAAAATGATGTTGATACGCCAATACGCCCATAAAGTCATGATTTTCAATCATTTTGCGAAATTTGTCGATATCGGGACAAGGGTTCAAGGAAGTACCGCCACTAATGAGTCGTGCTCACTTTGCTTCAAGGTAGGTGATAATGTCCCAATTTTTTCCGCTCGTTCGACTGAACTTTCAATTTACGATTTTTTTTTTGTTTTGACCCTTCAGAAACAAATTTGGAACGTTCCTGAAGTCGTTATTGTGATTTTGTTTCCAATGATGAAATTTCAATGTTATCGAAGAAACTTCGTTTTTTTTTTTAATTTTTGACCTCGGAAAATGATGTTGATACTCCCATGAACTCATTATGTTGATTTTTCAATCATTTTTCGAAATTTGACGATATCGAGACAAGGGTTCTGATGAAGTCCCGCCACTGACGGGCTGTGCTCGCTTTGCTTCTAGGTAGGTGAAAAAGTTCCAAATTTTTTCCGCTTGTTGGACTAAAATTTCATATTACGAATTTTTTTATTTTTGACCCTTTAGAAAAAAATTTGGAACGCTCCTGACGTCTTTATTGTGATTTTCTTTCCAATGATCAAATTTGAATGGTATCGAAGAAACTTGGTTTTTGACCTCGGAAATTAGATACAGAGTGGTCAAAAATCTCAATTCTGAACCACCCTGTATTTATTGAAATTAATTATCAATTGATAGTACATGAAAAATTGAGTTTCGGCACAAAAAATTCTTAAAGTTGAAAAATTTCGATTTTTTTTATATCGATTTCGATATTTATATATTTGATATCATTCTCGCTAGACCCCAAGTGTGATAGAACGATGAAATTAGCTCTCCAGGGAGAATCTGAAAACGAAATGATATACAGCGTGTCTCACTTTAAACGGCCCCCCCCCCTCTATATCTCCGTTATTAGTCATGCGATTCCAACCAAATTTGGTGTGGTATGAATAACCATCAATATAAAAAGGGGTCGACTTTTCAGAAAATCGTATTAGGCATTTTTTTACAGGAAATCTAACCTCATATTATTGTTCCTCATGCTTTCAAACCTCCATATGCAAAAAATCCCCTAATTCCGAATTAACAGGACTGGCTCCATTTTTTTCATTTTCAGTCTCGAATAAATAGTGACTTCAAATCGACTACGAATTTTGGAACGTTCAATGGCTCCGGTAGGTGGAAATCCATGATTTGGAAGGAAAAACGAGTTATAATTTTTTCATGTTGGACTCACTATTTCCGAGTAAATAATTATTACGTTCGCAAAAATGCTGTTCAGATGTGCCATTTTTTCTGAAACCCTTCATAGACATCTTATGAAAATCCACAATGTGAATTTGAAACCATGAAGAACAATACTATGAGGTCGGTTTTCCTGTGAAAAAATGCCTAATATGATTTAATAAGAAACTGATCCCTATTCATTTCAATAAAAATGCACGGCACTGTCTAAAATGATATTTGTATTTGAAGAACTGGTCATATTGATGATTATTCATACCGATACAAATTTGGTGAAGATCGCACGACTAATAGCTGAGATATAGAGGGGGGGGGGGGCGTTTGAAATGAGACACGCTGTATAGGGTGTCCTATTGAAAAAATCAAAGTTGTTACTTTTCAATATAAGCGGCAACGTCGCAGCGCTAAGAATATTTTATGTCGATAGATCACAACTCATTATCCAAGGCACCAACTTTTCAGAATGGTCCTGAGTTGCGTTCTCTAGAAACGTCTAATGTGCCATCCACCGTGAATCACCTAGTATGATGTTGATACGGCCATGAAGTCATTATCTTGATTTTTCAGTCATATTGGACCAATACTTCTGATTTTATTCCTAGTGATGTTTTTTCAAAATCAAGAATTTCCAAATTAGGGCGATCAGGAAGAAAATATTTTCCGGACTTCAATGCCTACTGCATTGCCTGAACCGCTAATTTTAGAAAATCTAAAGGAATTATTTTCTATCGAATCTGACATCTAATTCTTCCTTTATGGGTCTGGATTAGCATCTACGATTTTTAGGGCAATCAGAAAATTAATATTTTTCGTCCTGTATGAGCCTACTCATATTGCGTGAACCGCTAATTTTGAAAATGTGAAGGGAAAATTCCCTTTGGATCTGACATCGAATTCAAACTTTTAGAATTTCTACGCCAATTCGAAAATAAAAATTTGTTGACCTGTATAAGCCTACTGCATTCGTTCGATTCGTAAAAATTATCATACTGGAAGGGTACAAGAAATGGTATGTTCTCCCATGATGTGAAAAAAATCGCTAGGGGTGACGGGCGAATATTGGTTTTACCAAATACGGCCGTTTTCGGCGGTATTTTACATTTGCCCTGTCTTGTGGCCCGATGAGCGCTAGATTATGAGAGCTGAGGAGATTTTTTTTGCTTATTTCTCAATTGTCGACTATTTCACGAAACATTCACAACATATATTTCCGTTTGTTGCAGGAAAACCTGAAAAAGAAACAACAACTCCCCACCACCCCAACTAGTCTGAGTGCACTCAGAGAAACGGCGACGGCTCAGCCGACGATCAGCCATCTTCCATCATCCCCCGTTGCTGATCTACCCACCGAAGTAAGTTACTTGTTTGTTTTTTAATTCTTTTCAGATTCTCAACTGTTTTTTTTTGTGTTTTCTTTCGAATGATGACATTTGAATGATATCGATGAAACTTCGTTTTTTTTATTTTTGACCTCAGAAAATACGCCGATGAAGTCATTATCTTGATTTTTTCAATCATATTTCGAAATTTGTCGATATCGGAAAAATTACGTTTTTTTTTTATTTTTGACCCATTATAAAAAAAATTGGTACGCTCCTGAAGTATTTATCGTGATTTTGTTTCCAATGATGAAATTCGAATGATTTCGGGAAAAAATCGTTTTTTTTTTCAATTTCTGACCTCCGTAAAATGATGGTGATACGGCTAGAAAGTCATGATCTTGATTTTCAATATTATTTCGAAATTTGTCGATATCAGGACAAGGGTTCTGATGAAGTCCCGCCACTGACGGGCCGTGCTTGATTTGCTTCAAGGTTGCTGATCTACCCGAAGTAAGTCACTTGACTTTTTTTTAAATTTTTTTCAGATTCTCAACTGTTTTTATTTGTGATTTTTTTTCGAATGATGACATTTGAATGATATCGATGAAACTTCGTTTTTTTTTGAACTCAGAAAATACGCCGATAAAGTCATTATCTTGATTTTTTCAATCATATTTCGAAATTTGTCGATATCGAAAAATTTACGATTTTTTTTATTTTTGACCCATTATAAAAAAAATTGGTACGCTCCTGAAGTATTTATCGTGATTTTGTTTCCAATGATGAAATTCGAATGATTTCGGAAAAAAATCGTTTTTTTTTTCTTCAATTTTCGACCTCCGAAAATGATGGTGATACGCCCAGAAAGTCATGATCTTGATTTTCAATATTATTTCGAAATTTGTCGATATCAGGACAAGGGTTCTGATGAAGTCCCGCCACTGACGGGCCGTGCTTGATTTGCTTCAAGGTTGCTGATCTACCCGAAGTAAGTTACTTGACTTTTTTTCAAATTTTTTTCAGATTCTCAACTGTTTTTTTTTCTCCGTATTGTTGCACTTTGGTATTTTGGTACTGCTGTAACCACTATTTTATTCGAAATTTCCAAGTTTTTTTTCTGCTTTTCAGGTAAACAATAAATATTTGCCCTTTTTTTCTATCACTAGACACTTTTTCATGATTTTAATGTGTTAAAACTTGAAATTTCGCATTTCAGATAAGTAAGAAACAAAAATATGCCCAAAATCCGCAAAGATACAGACTGATCCACGATGGATGGCCTAGTATCTGGAGAACGGGAAGACGGAACATTCTGAAAATTGGGATGCTTTGATAATTGAACATTCTCTATCTGTCTAAAATATTTTTATAGATACAGTGTTGCCACTTCTATCAGAAACAACTACCAACTTCGTTATTTTAAATAGAGCACCCTGTATTTTATTGCATTTTTAGCGAGATTTTTAGATTCTCCCTGAAAAGCTGATTTCATCAATGTATCACACTTGGGGTCTAGCAGGAATGATTACAGAGATATAGGGTGTTCAAAATTGAGTTCTTTCAATTTCAGGATTTTTTTGTGTCGAAATTATTCATTATTGATCAAAACGACTTACATGTCCCTATCTTAACTTTCGGTTCACTATCTACTGACATTTAATTGGAACAGATACAGGGTGATCAGAATTCTGAATCTTGGAGCACCCTGTATTTTTTCCAATCAAATTCCAGTAGATAGTCAATCAAAAGTTGAGATAGGGACATGTGAGCCGTTTTGATCGATGATGAATTGTTTCGACAAAAAAAAAATCTTAAAATTGAAAAATATCGATTTTGAACACCCTATATCTCTGTAATCATTTCTGCTAGACCCCAAGTGTGATGCATTGATGAAATCAGCTCTTTAAAAAGAATCTAAAAAAGCAATAAAATACAGGGTGTTCCATTTCAAATAACAAAGTTGCTAGTTGTTTTTGATAGAAGTGGCAACACTGTATCGATGAAAATATTTTAGACGGATAGAGAATGTTCAATTATCGAAGAAACCCAATTTTCAGAATGTTCTGTCTTTTCGTTCTCCAGATACTTCTAATAGGCCATCCACCGTGGATCACCCTGTATATGCCTCAAGGGCTCAAGGTCTCCCAATGGTTTATGCAATAATTTTTTCTATTTGGGCCTCTCTGTATTCAAAAATATGCTCAAAAGACGCAAAAATATATGGCTCTAATCCTACTGATTGTTTACTATTAACATATTATGTCCGGAGTTGCTTCGTTTCTGAGATACAGGGCGATGAAATTGAAGAAAAAAAATGGTAATTACAAAACATCATGAATATCCCGGAACCGATTCGGTTGAAATTTGGTACTTTTATTTGAACTAATAAGGCGCCTATTTAGCCCTATTTATATTGAAATTATTAGAGCCAGTGGCGTCTCAGTGGGCACCACAGCCAACACTATTGTAAAAAAAGTATGCCACTGACTTTTTTTGGTAAATTTTAATTCTTTTTAGATCGAGCAACTCAAAATACAACTTTTTGATCTGTATATTCTTCATATCCAGCTTCGTTTTCGAGAAAAAAAATTAAAGCCACTGTATTGCATATCATGAACATTATTTTCGCCAAAAATATACTTGACACTTGATATGCTGAAATGTTAGAAAATTTGACAAATAAAAGTACCAAATTCCAACCGATTCGGTTCCAGGATATTCATGATATTTCATAATTACCGATTTTTTCTTTTAATTCCAACGCCCTGTATCTCCGAAACGAAGCAACTCCGGACATACGTTCATAGGAACTTTTCTTCTTAAAATGACCTAACCAATCACCCCCTGCAGTTAGGAACCGTAGTTAGGAAACACCCTGTATTAAAAAACATTCTTCACGATCGACTTCTTGGCAGGGTTTGCATGAATTAATTGATATGAATTGAATCAGTGATTTAATTCGTGAAATAATTCCATTGACTTTTTTCGAAAAAGTCATGAATTCATTCAAATTTTTAAAAATGGGACAAATTGCACTATTACCTTTGGTTTTAACTAGTTTAAACTGAAAAATTCGATTTTATTTTGGCAAGACTTTGTTATTTCAAGCATGACAGAGATTTTTACTAACAGATATATACAGTATCATGTATCATCCATAAAGTCCGAGATAAAGTCCATAACATATGAGAACAGGTTTATTATCACAGCATTGAAGTTTTTTCTCTCGGCGATCCATTATGCATATCCGATAACTTGAAAATCGATTCCGACATGTCACGTGATCACTAGTATGGTGATAAACTCGGTTGATAACAAAATATCCATAAATTTTTGGAGGAGAATTGGAAATAGCTATATTTTTTCGATTATTCTTCAATTTTGGTACAATTCTCTTTTTTTATGACAGTATTGATGTCGATGATGTACAAGTTGAATAAAATTCGATAAAATTCAATGTCATGCTCACATATGTTTGAGTTTCCAGCCATTATTTGAGAAAACTGAAAATAGCTATTTTTATTTATTTTTTAAATAACTTCATCTTTCCATATGACCCCACTTTTTGCCATCGTAATTTTTTGAATTTACTGCCAAACCAGTGATCAAGTGACATGTGTCAAAATCGACTTTTAAGTAGTCAGACATGCATAATAGATCTCCGAGAAAAAATGTTTCGATATTCTACTAATAAACTTTTTCTCCTTGTGTTACGAACTTTATGGATGATACTGGATCTATGTCTATATGTATCTATTATTTTGTATTCTATCATCACTTTTGATTTTGTTATGAAAAAATAACATGTTATATTATGATGTTATTCTACAAGATTTCTGATGGGAATAAACACATATTTTTTTTTGTTTCTTTTTTTATTTCGCTTTGGGTAAATGAAATTTGTTTGTTTTTTTTTCAAATGAATTAATTCAAAAAAGTCTGACTTAATTCAAAAAGTCGGGCTTGGATGACTTTTTTATAAAAGTCATGACTTATTCCAACCCTGCTTCTTGGCCATTTTTTTGCGACTCCCCCTGTTCGTCCGCTTGTCACTCCCATCATTCCTCCCGTCAAAATTCACAGTCAAATGTCATCATCTGACCATAATTTCGAGAACCCTACATCGCCCTCGTCCGAGAAAATCCCGCAAGAGGATGGGGTAGAAAGCGGTCGAGCGATGGGGGAGATAGTGCCTCCTCGGTCTCCCCTATCGGAACCAAACGCCTCCTTTTATAGCGCCTCCAGCAGCTTCGCAATACCCGGAGCTTATAGAAATGACGAGCAGGTTAGCCATTTGTAAATTAATTTCGATTTGAGAAAACCCAATCACAAATCTTTCTTTTCTGCAAGGGCTAGTTGGTTTCATCAGGGGCAATTGATTTCCTCATTTTGTCGTAGTTCCTCTGATTTTTTTTTTCGATTTTTTTATGGTCTGGTTCCCACGAAAAGGGATATCCAGTAATGTTCAGAGAACATCGTGAGAACCAAGGGAAATAAGATAGGAATTGGTGTTCTTCTTAAATTTCTGGAGGTTATATGCCTCGAGGAACACCCCCTTTGGCAATGTATTCCAGAGCCTCGCTGTTCGTTTGATGAACGAGTCTTTGGAGAGAGATGTTCTGCAGGTCTCCAAAGTGACCACGAAGGGGTGCGAAGCCTCAACTCGGCGAGTTAATCTCGCGAGGACTGCCAAGGGAGGAACAATTGTTGATTTTTCAGAAGAGCATCGTCCATGAAAATATCTATAAAATAGAGCCAGATCGCCAACTTTTCTACGGTGTTCCAGAGAAGTGAGTGAGTTTGTGAGCGAGGCATCACCCACGAGATGAATTGGCGGATCTTTTTTTTGCAATTGCATTACCTTGTTGGTCCCAGCACTGAGACCATAAACGCCCTATAAGTCGAAACTTGTGCGGGGTTAGGTAAGCAGACTCACACAAACATCCATGGCCTAACTAGGATTCGAACCTATGTCTCGGTGGGAGTCCCCATACGAACTCAGCGCCTTCATGCTCTCGACCACCGAGCCGCCGATCTGTGACTTATAGATCATATGGAGCTGACTGGAAGTGAAATAGCTCCTGGCTCGAAACATAAAACCAAGTTTTTGGGATGCACTTTTAGCAATTGATCTTACATGATTTTCCCAAGAAAGGTTATTGGTGATAATAACACCAAGCATCGAAATGGATGTCTTCAAAGGTATGGTTACTCCTGACAAGTTTATGTTGGGCACAGTGAGATCGGCTTTTCTAGCTTCCAAGGCTCAAAAATACACAAAATTCATGATGTTTCACCCTCTAGCGCCGAATCTGGTCATACGTTTGAGTTGGGCCAATGGAGTCTTTTACTCAGAATGACTACAGCTACAAGATATAAAAAATCCAGCCATTGTCACCGAAAGACATTTTCTCATATAATGTGTGCGTGGTCGTTTCTCGTTTTATTTGTAAAAGTCATTCTGTTCCCACCACCGCTACCAGAATGGACCGAATAAAACGCAAATAATGTCCCGACTACTGGTACTGGTACTGGTACTGGTGGGGGACGTTTCCACGTCAGCAACTAGTCCCCAACGGGACCTTTTTGCCAACCCCAAGTGTTTTCAATGACTGATGTGGTTCGCTCAAGAGAGCTGGCTAACATCCTTTTCAGGCACCGCCCATCAGCTCTCTTTTCAGAGTTTTTCAGCTGTGTTTTGTAGGCTAGTAATGTACTCACTACCATATGCGCAGTGGCAGGCCTGCTAACTATCATCGTTAACCCCCGAGACCGAGGTCTACTTAAGCAGCTGGCCCGTTCTCACGCTCAGCTGGTAGTTTTTCCACACCCACCTACATACACCGTCCTACTTCTTCTCTGATGCTCACAACCACATCATCATATCTTTCTGCGTGTTCTGTGTAGGCTTTGTTACTAACTCCATGCGCCACTTTAGGAGCAGCACTGTTAATTGGAACGCAACAGCGAATCGCGCAGGACTATCCCCAGCCGATGCTCCGAAACTTTACAATATTTAATTCGTAAAGAAAATATTGAAAAAAGTTCCTTGCCCGTGCTGGAAATCGAACCCACGACCTTGCGGTCGTGAGACGGACGCTCTTCCACTACGCCGATCCCGGCTTGATGTCCCGACTAACTCCACCCTATCTTCCTCTTCTTTCTTTCAGGCGTCCGAAGAAAGTTCCAGCCAGCCGCAATCGACTTCAGGGGCGGCGGCGGCGGCGGCGCATTCGACGGGCAGCGACGCCGATTCGGAGACGTCTTCTGCCGCCGCCGCCGCCTTGGATCCGGACTCGAGCGGCGAGGAAAAAGACGGCGAGAAGGATTTCAAGAAGAAGAAGAACCGGTGCTCGACTTGTCGCAAGAAGGTCGGCCTTACAGGTATTACACACTTTTTGACAACACTATTATTCCAAAGAAACGTTATTTATTACACAATGGAAAATACTAATTTTCTTAACAAGTGCGGAAAGTGATACTTTCCCGCACTCGACTGCTTGGCCGAACTCCGCTATGGTATTATTGATGGGGCATCAGGAGTCAGCAGTGACTTCCAGCTGTTTCACTAATTAATTTGTGCTCTAATTTTGAATGGTTTATACAAAAGATTTCGTAAACTACTACGCCTGGGATCTTTCATATAAAGAAACTTCATTGGAGCATCCCATGTCAAGATACAGCCCATTGAAGGGGGTACATAAAATGTTTTTAAAAATTTTTTTCACAAGCACTAAAAACGTTACAGTATTGAAATCAACCTGGCATTTTCTACTACCAAAAAGACACTATATTTATATTTTTCGATAAGGAATCACCCACTTAAATGTTTCACACTTATATGGTTACACCCTGTATATTGTTATTCGATATATTTATCGATATATCGATTTTTTTCCCAGGCCTAGTACTGACTCTTTGATATGGGCGATTTTTTCATATTTTTGTCCGATTCACATCGCAATTTTTGTGTCCTCTAAGGGTTCGAGTGTCGCTGCGGCGGCCTCTTCTGCGCCGTCCACCGATACAGCGACAAGCACGACTGCAGCTTCAACTACCGCGAGATGGGCGCCCAGGAGATCAGGCGCAACAATCCCGTGGTGGTGGGCGAGAAGATCCAGAAGATCTGAGCCCCGCCACTGGGCGAGTGCCGCCCCCATCGCCCCCAACGCCGCCGTTGATTGGACGCCGTTTGTCGTTTGTGGCGGACGCTGTTTGTCGTACGCCTGACGCGAACTGAGGACGTTTCGAAGGGGTTTCGCGGTAGGTCGGACGTGGCGCGACAAAGTGCAAAAAAACACAAAGACTACAATGAATTATTATACATATAGGTTGGACTCGGAGATCGGTAAGGTTCTACGAGCTGGCGGAACGAGCACAACGCAGTCTGGGTGTCGAGGTTCGACCACCGGACCAAATTCGTTTTGTGACCCTCTTAAACCTATTGTGGTCCGTTCACATTCCGTTCTGGTAGCTTACACAGTACGAAATTCTTTTTGTGGCTTTCACATGGTTCACAATGCGGAATTCGTTTCGTGGCTCTTTCAAAATTGATCTGGCTAGCTTTTAAATTCAACCATAACACTAATATTCGTCCAATAATCTTTTCAAAACCGTTCACATTTCGGTGTGGCTCTTAGAATCGAAATACAACGCAAAATTCATTTAGTGGTCGTTTCAAAGGCACTCGTATGGGTTCTTCACTAATTTAAGAAAACCACAATACGGAATTCGTTTCGTGGCCCTTTCAAAATTGATCTGGCTGGCTTTCAAATTCAACCACAACACTAACTAATATTCGTCCAATAGGCTTTCTAAGACCGTTCACATTTCGGTGTGGCTCTTAGAATCGAAGTACAACGTAAAATTCATTTAGTGGCTCTTTCAAAGACACTCCTATGGTAGTCTGGCTCTTATAGTACGGCAACAACGCCACGGTCGTCACGTGGTCATTTCAACAACGTTTACATTTCGTTCTGGAAGCTTACACAGTACAAAATTCGGTTTTTGGCTCTCACGAGGTTCCTTACTCATTCAAGAAAACCACAATACGGAATTCGTTTCGTGGCCCTCTCAAAACAAGCTCGCATCGCTGTCTTGGCGCTTAAAATTCGGATACAACGCCAAATCAGTAATTCAACAACGTTCACATTTTGTTCTGGAGGATATCAGTACGGAATTCGTTTCTTGGCCCTCTCAAAAATGAACGAATTGGCTTGGTCACGTGGTCTTTTCAACAACGTTTATATTTTGTTCTGGAAGACACAGTACAAAATTCGTTTTCTGGCTCTCAGGAGGTTCCTTACTCGTTCAAGAAAGCTAAAATGCAGAAGAATTCGTTTTGTCGCTCACTCAAAAATATCTGACTAGCTTTTCAATTCAACCACAACGCGAAATTCGTTCTGTAGGCTTTTCAAAACTGTTCACATTTTGGTCTGCATCTTGGAATCGATGTAGAACGCGAAATTCATTTGGTGGTCCTTTCAAAGGCACTCTTATGGTAGTCTGGCTCTTAACTACAAAGTCAAATGTGGCCACAACGTCAAGTTAGTCACGTGGTTTTTTCAACAACGTTCACATTTCGTTCTGAGGGCTCATTGCGACCGGATTGCGGATCTGACTGGCTTTCAACTTCAACCACACGTGAATATTAATTGCATTGGATCATCAAAACCGTTCACATTTTGGTCTAGCTCATAGAATCGGAATACAACGCGAAATTCATTTGGTGGCCCTTTCAAAGGCACTCTCATGGCGTCCATCCACTAAGACGACCTTATCTACAAAGTCAAATGTGTCTTGTTACCTTCTCAATAACGTTGACATTTCGGTCTCGTGTATTTTGTAAGGTGACAATACAAAATGCGTTTTGTGTCCAAAATGCCAAATTCGTCTCTTCCTGGTCCTTTCAATCGCATTCAAATTCCATTCTGGTGTATTTTTGAAGGCTTGCAACACAAAATTTGCTCTTAGATATTCTCGAAATTCGTTTTGTGGCCCTCTTAAAAATGTCCACATTTCTTGAAGGTCGGCCACACTCTGTAATTCATCTCCTGGACATTGAAAACACGCTCTTTTATATTCAAACGCAAAATTCATTTCGTGGTACTCTTGAAAACGCTAAAATTGCGGTTTGATTCGAACTTTGGCCACAACGCAAAATTCATTTTGTGGCCCAAACAATGATAAAATGGCTACGAATGCGAAGTTTGTCACGTGGCCCCTCAATAAAAATGTAAAATTCATGTGGTGGCATCACACGGATTTTGTTTTGTGGTTGGATCTCGGTGGCCAGAACGCGTTGTGTTTGTTTTTTTCCGCTCGATAAGCGTTTACGGTTTCTAAGTCCAACACATACACAAATGTTCGGTACTTTTATTTACAATTGCAACTCAATTCATCTTTAAGTTTTATTTCCATTTAATAAATTCCTAGGTATATATAATATATATGTCATTTTTAGCTTCTTTGTTGATTGTATATGTACATATGAAACAGGGACGGTGGAAAATTTGCAGCATATTATTTGGTAAATTTTTTTTATTGGTTTCTCAAAAAAAAAATCGACCGAGTAATAAAATAGTTTTCCATGTATTATGTTGCAACTACAGGGTGGTGAGATCAAAATTGTCTTTTCATTCCCGTACCGATTGCTATGACTGAAAATCGGATCGCGGGGACATGGAAGCGACTATTTCACCATTTACTGTCCACGCACAACGGTTACAGGATGTCAAACAATATTGTTTTCTTAAGTTGTGGGACGTTCTGTATTCAGTGGTAACGTGTGTACGACCAAATTTTCGTGAACTCAAAGTTGCTTGTCTCTCCCTTTCTCAGACCATTGAAATAAAGATGAAGAAGGAGAAAAAAGAATTTGTGTACACAAGGTTGATTGTCTCTCCTTCTCTCAAGTTGAAGAAGAAAAGACATTCTTGTACAGGGTCATTCCGTATATTAAACAGATCCTACGGAGTTCATCATTGAATATAGAAAAAAACGAATACGAAAATTGTATGGTTCGCTCTGAACCTCAAGAAAATTGTACCAAATACAAAAATTGCCGAATAGATGCTGATTGTCTCCTTACGCTATTAAATTGGGGGAAAAAGATCGACGATATATTTTGTGAACACAAGGTCAATTGTCTCTCCCTTATCCATTTTAGTGAAGATAATACGAAATATTTTGTGTATTAAGTGACGAAAAGAAGAGACCATCAAGATAAAAAAAATAAAAAAATAGATGCAGCATATTTTGTGAAAGGACCGAAAATATATTTTGTCAATTATTGTCTTCGAATTGAAGAGTGATGGATAAAATATTCTGTTTACACAATATTAATCGCTTTTCTATTCAACTGAAGAAAAATATGCAACATGTTTTGTGTATGCAAGGTTGTTTGTTTAAGGAGGAGAGGCTAAAAATATTTTGTTTACCTGTTTAGTGTACACAAGGCTGAAAGAGACAGAAGATTGCTCATATCGTTGATTGATATATTACGCTTACGGTGGGAAGATACCCAACCTGTGTTATTTGCGAGGCGATGCCCCGCTCATCCCCTCGTCTATCGTTTTGCCACTGAGGTAGCGACTCCACTAGGCACACAGAACATGTCTGAACTAATTGTACAGATTACTACACTTTAGTATGTACAGAATTACAGATCCCATCCCACCGCGTGCTAACGCTCCAGAAATTTTTGTTTATCCTTGTCTTCGACGATGAGACCCGACCCGCCCGACCGGTTCCGATAAACATTTTTTTGCTACGGTCGGTGAATCCCATGGACGTATATTATACTCCCATGGTGAATCCGCAATCCGCAACAATAACAACGGGATGCGAGTATTGAATTTCCCCTCGGTTCCTTGCGGAAGAGAGAAGAACATATTATGATCTCTCAGTTCTAGGGTAAAATACACTAAGGTGACAACACTGGTCCGGGTTCGTGAATTTTAATCAAATTTATGAGCAGCTTATATATTGATATCCGCTGACCAGTTTATTCCACAATCGCCAAAAATAGTATGGAAGCATTTATTGTTGAGACATTAAATTTGGTGATTCACTCCAATTCGATATCTATAAACTTTTTTCATGATCTTACGTCCGTGATGCGCTCGTTAGGATCACATCCAGTACAACTATTACTAACAAATTCGAATTTATCAGTTAGAATCGTAATCATTGATCGTGGATTCGATACAAGCGTTCTGGATTATGGATCGTTTAATTGTTCCGAGTCGCACGCCAACTGCATTACAATAGATTCTCTTCGCAAGTGGCGCACCTGCCAGTCAAATTACGAAGTATTGCTCCGACATCGTTCGACACTATCGCCGTCACAATGTAAGATTTCGAACTATGCTACGCCATCTAGTTGTGAGATTTTTTTGGACCTCGTTTTGCCCCATAAGGTTGGACATCTTCCCAGCGTAAGCATAATATATCAATCAACGCTCATACCCTTAGAATATCATCAAAGACAAGAGACACAATATTTTGTGTACACAAGACTGTTTGTGTCTCTTTTCACCTGTCCAACTGAAAAAAAAAGAGGGAGAGAGAAAAAAGGGAGACTAGAAGATTTTGTGTTCATGGTCGTCTTGACAGAAAAAATTTCGTTGTACACTTGTTGATGATAAAGAGGACATTCGTAGCGCCTTGCGGCTTCTGCAATTCTAATCCAATACCAATGTGGATTTGTTATATTATATTTGGTTTTTTGAGAGTTATTTGTGAAGGGAACTGATTTGTTTGCTTCCTGTTTTTGTTCTTTGGCCAGGGATGAACAAAAACGGGGATTTTTTTTATATACAGTGTATAGATGTATTTGCAACATCATAACAGGTAGTTATTACGTTTTATAAATTAACCATCTGCAATATTCTTGTTTGGTTGATTTTTCTTTGTCCAAGCAGAGTTGGCACCAAATATAAAAATGACCCTGAGAAAACTTCTTTGCACCTAGTTTAATTATTATAATTGTTTGTTTCATAACCTTCCTGGAAGTTTTCATTTTGATTATCTTTGGCCAATGACAAATTTGAAGGAAGCGGGTTACGATTTTCCTATGTTCTCGTTATATTCCCCAGCAATTTATTTCGGAAGTGCAAAAAATAGAGTTGTGTGGTATCAAATATCCATTAAGAAAAAAAAGTATGTATGTTTCGTTTTGTTTTATAAAAGGTGTTATGTACGACGGATATTTTTACTTTATTAATCATTCGACAGTGACAGGCTAGGCCTTGAGTGACATTCCGCTCAGTACAGGGTAATTCAATATATTTGGATTCCCCTTTTATATTCGTTGCTATATTTCCACTATTTTTGAAGATTTTTCGACAAAACAATCGAGAAAATGGGGAGGGGTTTCGAAATATAGCGATGCACCCTGTACAGGGCAGCTGAAATTCGAGTCTCTTCATCTCGCGTTGCCTATTCGAAATTTGGAAAATTCCAGTTAATTTCCAAAGATGTCCCGCTAACACCGAAATTTATTTTGATGTTATTTGGAGAAATTCCACTTTACACAAAACCATTTATTCTTTCCAATAAGATTCCGTTTTTAAAAAATCCGACGTATCTTCTTCCAGAAAATATCATCAACTCACAGAATTCACATTATGGTGGTACTAAAACTTTGAAACAAAACCAAACTGTCAATTTTTTGTGGTTTTTGGAAGACGAAACGCCGGATCTCAAATTGGAAAACGCTATCTTGTAGGAGAGGAAAAGTGACCACAATGAAGTGGCATCCTTTTGGATGAAGTCCTCCGAATAACGTCAAAATAAATTGAAAAAAACCCAAGCGACCCAGTATCTCTGACGCTTGAACGAGGCTAGGAATTTCATCTACCCTTTACACGATTTTACCCTCAATTGACTACGAAATTCAGCGAATACAAGGATTGCGATTGGTCGTCGGAAGCATAAACAGAAAGTTTTCTTTGCTCGCTCGGTTTGGCTTCCTCTTTATCCACTATTTCTTCGATATCCCTCGCTCTCCCTGCCGTCCAAAATTCGTACAGTTTAGCCATGTAGCCCACGTGATCGTCCGCCTCTTTCCTGAAATTTTCTTTGATCTCGATCTCCTCGAACTTGGTCACCACTCTCAACACCCTTGAATCAATCGAATTTTGGTTAATAACCTAGCCAGAAAAAATAGAAACGTCAAGTACATCAAGGAACTCTAGCCAGACTAGCCAGAGGTAAATCCTTCTCAATAATGAATGGATGAAAGGATCTTGCCATAGGCCAAAGTTTAGCCAGAGGAAAAACCTTCTCAATAATGAATCGAGGATATTGCCATAGGCCAAAGTTAACGCAAGTTTCATCGCTAGAATAGGCTAGATGTGGGGTCTCTTGATACAAACTGACGTATTTGCCATCTTAACAGGGTACGTGTTTGTGAAACAGTTATATAGTTCCATCCTTATTCAATTCTGGGGAGAAACACTGGATTTCTGATATTTGTTGTTTTTTAGGTTATATTGAGAACGGCGTATCATACGAAATTTCCACATGGAATTCCTGATTCAACTAAATATATTATACCCAAATGATGATCAATCATATTTGAGCTTTCGATTTTCCAACTCCATCATAATCTTTGTGAGGCAATGAGCATTTTTTTTAAAAGTTCAATATGTTTTACGAAATGGGACTGTTCTTAGGCCGTACCTATAAATACATTAATTTTGATATCAGATTAAACCAACATTTGTTGGAAAGCTGACAAATTCAAATTTGCGATCCAACTGGATACAGCCTAACGCAGCACATTTTACCATCCTTCCGAAACAGAATTAAATAATGTCGTATTAAGATTGAGTACTAATTGAAATTTTGTAAGATTTCTTCGAACGCCTTTGAATGTGTCATGACAGCAATGTCATGTCAGGGTCGCCGAATCATTAAAAGAGAAAGGAGGTATGATCTGTCCGTACCCTGTTAAGATGACAAATACGTCAGTTTACATCAAGGGACCCTAGGCTAGAACATGAATGCATTAATTTTCAATATATAATACCACAAGTGATACTATTTTGCCGTGAATATTCGGCGATTGTTACGACAGCATTTCGCTGAATGACATTGTTTATCGAAACTTTCGAACCGTAGGCGAGAAGTTTTGGAACAATGTCATGAGCGAAATTAAAGCGAATATTTCCAGGAAAAGTAGTATCTCGAGTTGTATGCGTCTGAATATTCCATGATTGAGACAATAAACGAGCGGCTTGGGAGAGTTGCGCACACAGCATCCATCATTCTAGCTTCCATCCTAATTGACGTATTAAACGTCCAAAATGTTATCGCTGACAAAACGAGGAAGGTTGTTCACATGTGGGTCAATTCGGCTTCTGTATTGGTAGAGCAAGTCCGATTAAATTTAGTAAACAAAAAAATATCGCTGTGATACAGAAGAAAGTATTTTTTCTATAAATCAGTGTTCTTGTCTATTGCTTAGAGTTTCCTGTTCTGGCGTTTTTTGTTCTAGTATTTTCGTTCATTTAAAGCGAATTCCATTGGCCAATAAAGTTGTTTTGCACCAGTTCTACTCTAGTGTTGCATTGAAACTGTACTAGTTTTCTTCGAAATACGATTTGGTTCATTCCAAATATAATGCTAAGGTTGATAGCAAATAATGAGATGACATTTCAGACCATTCAGGATCTTGCTTCGCTAATTAACAATGTGGAAAAAATACGCGAACATGAAACGAAGAGGGCAAAATATTTGCATCCCTCAGAGAGGCCAAGATCGTTCATTAAAGCAGCAAATTCTGAATCCTATACCTGCAGTCACTCAACTTCACTAAAGAAACAACGAATATTGAAACAAAAGTTATCTGAGTGAACGAAAACACTATTTATCGACGTTGCTTCGCCAGTATCATAATCATCTATCACTTCTCAAACATGTTCCCAGGCTTAGGGACATCAATTTTACTCGCATTTGCCATCTTTGTAGCCAACCCCACAATCCGAATCGTCCCACCTTTGAAAATATATCAAAAATCAACGTTTTGATTGACCTACCTGTTGTTTTTGCTGTAGACTATGCCGATGTCTGGTCGATAGTAACCGTCCCCTGTGTAGTAACAGTTGGGAGGTATCTTGATAGAATTGTGCCGGGGTAGTTCGTTGTCAAGTATCTGCCTGGTTTCCTCATCTTCATAACGTCTATCGGGGAATTCGCAATATCTCCAAGGTTTCTCGACTTTGAGACCGTCGTGGAAGTGAAAGGTTCTATTTTTTGGTCTGTGAAAGTATTTCGGTGTTTTATGAAAACTTTTCCCATCAATAATAGATGAACAATCAAAATTTTATTATTTATTTCAATGTCACCCTGTATATTCGGATATACAGGGTGAGTCAGAATAAGAACGACAAACTCCTTGTACGGATTCCTTAATTCATTTTGAGGTGATAAGTTCATATCCACGTATGTCATGGTGTTATAAAAAAAATTAAACTTGGTATACTATTCCAGATCGATCAATGTAGTCACATGGAGTTTCCATTTTTGAATTTCGTCAAGCAGTAGCGTAGTTACGATCGTATGTCGCCACATTTCCATCAATATTTTTTCCTAGACGAATCATCAAATTGGTGTATGACATCAGTGAGGCTCATCGATAACCTAACCTAAAAGTAATAACCTTCCACCTGCCAAAATGTAGAGGTTCCTGAGATATTTGCGAAAAACTAAAGATGTCGGTAGTTTGTCGTTCATGTTCTGACTCACATTGTAGATGTTAAAATACGAGTATGTATGGTATTACATTCTGAGCAATAATTTTCTTTCTTGGCAAGTATTTTTTTAAGGGAAATCTTTCAGTGAAACAGTTAAACAGGAGTTCGTGAGGACCCTGTACAACGGATTTCATAGCTCGTGTTTCTTGGACCAAAATAAGCAAGTACGAAAAAAACGTTGTTTCTTAATGTTAAAAAATCGCCACTTACTTTCCATTCACCCAAACGCCTTCGATATAATCCCCATTGGGATACGTGATAGTACCCTCACCATGGAACTGCCCATCCCTGAAGTACCCTTCGTATACGGCGCCATGCGGGTATACATAAGTGCCAACACCGGCGAACCCCAGTGAGTCCACCTGCCGGTAGTTATGAAAAACATTAATTTAATTATAAAAAATTGAACAAATCACTATTTATTTCACCAGTTTTTTCCACCTGTCGTGGATACGCTTTAACAGCTACTTGCTCTTTCTATTTTGTCATTGGACCACTTTATACAGGGTGGACTTTAACTGGAATAAATTCGCCAGCGGGGAGGGAGATGGGGCATTTTCTAAAAATTCGCGAGATACGGCATGTATTTGCCTGCATTTTGCAGACAATATGAAAAATAGTCATTCAGGGATAGCTGAAATCATCTCCAACATGTTTCTTTCAAATGCAACACTTCGTTTAGGCTGTGTCAAGTCATTCGTTCGACCACAGTGGTGATGCCAGGATGGCCAATGGTTGACTCGACTCCCATCACAAGTTAACGTGGTAACTTTGTGGGCAGGTTTGAAACGTGACCGATATTCCCAAACAGCTGGTTGGTCAAACCGATGGTCAGACTTCATAGTTCATACTGAACGTATGTGCCCGGTCAAACCACAGACTTGAATTTTCTATACAGTGAGGACGTAAAAAGTCCTCCCCCCCCCTTATCTTTTGAACGGAAGAAGCTATCGAGGTCGGGTAAAATTCAGGTAAAAAGGTACTACTTTTACTACTTTTTGGCATAAAAATGATTGTGGTCACGTGGCCTAGTGTCAAGAGGGTACCATCAACTTTTTTTTTTCAAATGTAAAAGGGGGTCACGTGGCACCTGGTTTTGAAGGCCTTTCGATTCTCTATCCACCACCGCTGTGTTTGTGAAAATCGACCAAGCCGTTTCAAACTGACGAGGCATTTGAAAATTATAAAAACAAGCTTGAACCTATGAGAACTGTCAAAAGTATCGATATGATTAACGTCAATATTAGACTGGCATTGAAATGAAATGATATTTGGAGTCTCCAGCAAAATAAATAAGGTAAAAAAAAACTGGAACAAAAACCACATTTCAAAATACCAATAATATGCGCACCTGTCTTACCACAAAAAATTGACTCTTCGACCATAATCAGTGACGGAGTTGAAATTCTGCTGCAATTAATAGTTGAAATAATTTTTTGTGAAATTTTTGAAGCAAATTTCAATAGCTTGTCAGTTTGAAACGGCTTGGTCGATTTTCACAAACACAGCGGTGTTCGATAGAGAATCGGAAGGCCTTTAAAACCAGGTGCCACGTGACCCCCTTTTACATTTGAAAAAAAAAAGTTGATGGTACCCTCTTGACACTAGGCCACGTGACCACAATCATTTTTATGCCAAAAAGTAGTAAAAGTAGTACCTTTTTACCTGAATTTTACCCGACCTCGATAGCTTGTTCCGTTCAAAAGTTAAGGGGGGGGGGAGGACTTTTTACGTCCTCACTGTATAAAAATGTGTCATTGAAGTACATCATGAGTAGCTGTAAATGCATCCAACACAAGGTTAGAAAGAAGGCGAAATTTCGAACTTTTTCTTGGAATATCTCGATAAATAGTGGGTTGTTCACATTTTCATTATCAAATTCGTGTTTTTCAGACAAAAATACGGAAGTACCAAAGAAAATTTTCGAAAAAAAAAAACCATCACATGATGAATGCAGTTTTACCATATTTTGTCCCTGTTCGAATGTCGACCCCACTTTCCATCTGAAATGTTGGGGTCAAATCACAATCAGTAACTATTTAATTGTTCTAGTAACATTATTCTATTAATTTTAAATATATGGTGCCAACCAGTCGCCATATTGGTTCTAACCTGAGTTGGATTATCTAATTGGACGCACAGGTTGAAGAGTATGTCTTGTGTTCTCCTCAAAAGCAAAAGCTAGGTGCAAACTTTCCGTCCAATGTAAAATGACAAAATGAGAAGGGCAAGTAGCTGTAATATCCAGAAGTTCAAAGACGATTTCCAATACCTACCTCCTGTCCCTTTCCTCCCAAGATACGCATGATGCTCTTCGACCATTATAGGGATTCCCTGTCGTGCTCTCTAAAGAATAAGAAAAATGTACTTTTCCAAGACAAACGAAAAAATACGGCGAAATTCAAAAATTATATTGGAATTGGTAAAACTGCATTTAGCATGCGATGGGTTTTTTTCGACAATTTTTTTTGGTACTTACGTATTTTTGTCTGAAAAACACGAATTTGATAATGAAAATGTGAACAAACCATTATCTATCAAGATATTTCACTATAAAGTTACAAATTTCACCTTCTTTTCCGCCTGTCTTCTGGATTGAATTTATATAACTATATCGCAATGTAAGACACATTTTTTTCTATTATTGAGTCAACTAGAAATATGATTTTCTTGTGATTTATCCATATTTATTGAAAAGAAGGAAGAATATCATTTGAAATATTGGCGTGTGTAATGTCATTCCAAAGCAATCTATTGACATTTGACATCTCGTATTTGGATCGCCTATGGATAAAATGGCCGTCATCTGGTATGCTGGCTCACTAAATAGGAAAAACTCACCATAAAAATCATATTTCCTGTTGAATCTTCTGTATAAAAATGTGTCATTGAAGTACATCATGAGTGATTTGAGTATATAAAGGCTATATTCCGAATTCAACTGGTCAGTACTGTCAGTAGATCCACTGAATCTGCTGAAAATCTGTGTTCCGAAATATAAAATCAAAAATACAGTGCTGTAATTCGGGACACGTTTTCATGGTTTTCATCAGTAGTCAGCAGCAGTTGATCAGCTGGTGAAATTTGCCAGTCTGTAGTGTCTCGTTTATCTGGACTAGATATTTAATATTTAACATGGAAGAGCAATCGATTCTTGTAGCCTCCATAGTTTCTACGATTATTGACTATGACGATTCAAGCTCGAGTGATGAAGAATACTTGGACATTTTGTTGCCATTTATTTTTCATGATGCACCAGATTGAGAATTCATGGAAAACGTAATGATGATGAATTTAGGAGACATCCCAGGTTTATTTAGTAATTTATTTAGTCAATGCTGCTCCATATTATTCTCGCAGCTTATTATTTAAATAACAGCTATTTTCTGATATTGAAAATAATATCATTAACAACGGAAATAAATGTTACATTCCTTCCCCCTCTGAAAAAATGACAGTTTTTTGATTTCGGAATGAATAATCAGCAGATTCAGTACTGTCAGTTGAATTCGGAATATAGCCAAAATCTGTCACTTTCAGTGAATTTTTTGATTACGGAATGAAAAATCAGCAGATTCAGTACTGTCAGTTGAATTCGGAATATAGCCAAATAAGTGTCCAATGACAAAATAAGAAGAGCAAGTAGATGAAAATGCATCCAACGCAAGGGGGAAAAAGGAGTCGAAATTTCGAACTTTTTTTTGAAATATCTCGATAAATAGTGGTTTGTTCACATTTTCATCATGAAATTTGTGTTTTGCAGACAAAAATACGTAAGCAACAAAAACAATTTTCGAAAAAAAAAAACTATCGCATGATAAGTGCAAAATTACCCACCTGCCCCTTGTAGGTGCTGCCCGTGCAGAAGGTCTCTTCCGGTACCGCCCTGCGTAAGTACCCTGGGTGGGCGTTGGTCCTGATGCTGGGTATTCCCGTTAACGCGCCAGGTACGGTGATCTCCCTGAACCAATCGACGGTCAGCTTTCTGCTGTTGCTGAACAGGCTGTCGTTCTTTCCCATTTAACGCGGCTGTTCGATTCGGAAACGAAAAGGCGATGAATTGTTCATCAGAGTCGAGAATGGACCATGTCAAAATAGCATTGTCAATGACAGATTATTTGATTTACATTTTTGTCAACCGCGTCAATCAATGTCTGGAACTTGTGGAGTATACAGGGGATATGTTCTGTTAATCCTTGATCACCGAGGTTACCGATGCTCTCAGGGCCGGTACCAACAATTTTGACATTGGTTATCAACTGGTGGCTACGGTTGTGGTTTATTTGTCGAATTATAGTTTTGATTTCATTTATTTAAAATGCACCACCTTCAACGGAGCATAAAATAACTATTTCTGTTTAGTTACAGAAAGAGATTTGAAAAGTATCTGAGCTACTCATCACCAGAAAAATATTGTTGTAATTTTCTAGTAATGAAAATGATGAAAAATTACATGGAAACTTTTATTTTGTGATAAATATCTCGATAACTGTTCATATTAGCTCAGTTGAAGGTAATTGAAAATAATCGAAAGTTCATCAGTGTCGTGGAAAATATTTTTCATCTTCAACACCCTGTAACTCGAAAACTAAACACTTGAAGACCGCATGTCCTTATCTCAGTAATTATGAAATCACGACCCAGCGAGCACAAACATCCCTGGGATGTTTTGAAAATGTTGGCATGAAGATGTTATTTTGAGACGTAATATGCACTGACCAAAGAGGTCTTTGAAGGATATTGAAGTATTGTTTATGTTCTTCTGTGCCCTTTCTTTGTTTGACCCACCACAACGTCTCATGCTTACGTCACAATTAATACGATGAATTCTGATTTATTTTCGATTTTGTTCTTCTTGTTCGCAATTGGCATTCGCGTTTGCAGCGTCGTGTCACGCTTACATCACGCTGCTAACGAACAGAAAGGAATTTGGTGAAGTTTATTGTGTTAGAAGATCATTTAGTTTGTAATATTGACCTTCAGATACAAGATGTGTTGTTCGGTACCTCAGTGTAATCAATATATAAAAGTACGAATTTATCAATACACAGCTTCTCCGCAGTTGCAAAATTATGCATTGTGGAGAACATTTCAAAAATTGAGAAACCTATGTCCAATTATATGTCTGTGTGTAGTAAGCACTACTCAGAAACCGATTAAGAAGGTAATTTCATATCAAGATAATATTTTTATGTTCAATCTATTTTTAATGCATTTTTTCATTCAAGGGAAATGGAATCCTAATGCAAGAGTTCATTTTGACAAAAGGCTTCAGAAAAGTACCTCGAAAATGGTTTTTTTACAGCGATTAAATGTGCACAAGACGCGTTGAAAATGTTTTGTTGTGTCCATAAAAAGGCTTTAAAAAGAACTAGGGAGAAGGTAGTTTTGTGACATATCAAGGACATCTCGATAATTGCCGCCTGCGGCGGACATTGGCTGTTCTATAATAGTTCTATTCATGTGTGAACAGAACATCGCAGTGGAGGTTCAATGTCTCGAAATCTCGTACTTTTAACATCTCTGAGATGTTTTTGTGCTCGCTGGGGAGTCGCCTGTCCAGCGTTGTCGTTCGAATTTCGATACATCCTGTATAACAGGACGTCCCGAAATGAGCCTGCCAAATCTTGCCAGCGGCTTCTACGCACAAAAATAGGAAGAAAAGTTACTAGACCATCATGTCTTCATCCTCTTCTTAACGTTCTTTTCCTTTTTTACGCATGCGTGGCGCACATATGTACCCACCATGGGGAAGGTGAACACGAAGTGGTCCAGTATCCTCTTAGGGGTATTACTAATTTCAACAAATTTTTTATTAGAAAAGACAAAAATTGAATATTATCATATAGGGGCTTCGGTATTTTTTGTTGTTTATTATTGTTTGGATAGCATTTTGTTTAATCATTGTTTGAAATATTTTGTTTTCTGTGAATGTTGTGCTGGGCTGTTCATGATTTTCGAATTTATTGATATTTCTCTGTTCACACTCTATTTCTACTTAACCATTACTAGGTACACAGTCATTCAGCTGTTGCACCACTGAGTAATTTGTGTCATAACTTTCTTCCTTGTTTTGCAGAGGTCAATAAATCCACGCGATAGAAAAAATTACACTATGGTCAAAAAGAGATGATGTTCCTGGAGTCATAAGGAGTGCTGGACTTTTGAAATTTTAGTTATTTTGGTTATACAGGGTGATTGATTAAGAATGAGAAATCTCTGAACTACAGATAGTAAACACAAAAATAATGAGATATGCCTGATGAGAATGTTGCTGTTTTAGGAGATACAGGGTGTTCCAGGGCGAGATTTTATTTTAAAATTTTCACGATAACTTTGTTAGTTTTAACAGCATGAACATGAAATCTTGTATTTCAAGGTTTTCTGACATGAGGAATATGAATTTGCAACTTATTATTTTGTGATTGCTCATAGAGGGCGCTATTAAAATGTTATAATTGGTACATAAATCTCTTCAAGAGCGAATAACACAAAAACCGTTGAAGTTAGACAATTTGATAAAAAGTACATTTTTCATGTGAAATTGAACGAGCTTTCATATTTTCCACTCATTTTGATCATCAATGAATTGACATAGAAGAAATGATGTAAATTATCGAAGAAACAGAGTGCCACTAGCGCTCTCTATGAGCAATCACAAAATAAGTTGCAAATTCATATTTCCCATGTGAGAAAACCTAGAAATACAAGATTTCATGTTCATGCTGTTGAAACTCACAAAGTTATTGTGAAATTTAGAAATAAAATCTCCCCCTAGAACACCCTGTATCTCCTAAACCAGCAAACTTCTCATCAGGCTTATTGGGCTAAATTCAATAATTTTTGTGTTAACTCTATCTGTAGTTCAGAGATTTCCCATTCTTAATGAATCACCCTGTATAAGTAGAAGTGATCCGGCTCATTTTGTTGATGTTGATATACAGTGTGTCCACCTTAAGGACTTACCACCCCTGTAATATCGTTATTATCCGACCAATTTCAAAAAACCTTTTTTTGTTGGATAGGTATTTGAAATGCCCATCCAACAAGAAAGTGATCTAATTCTGGGACTGTTATCGTGGCCAACTGCGACAAATTTCAACGACCCATATTCCAGAAAGTACTATTAGGGATTTTTTTCCACGAAACTTGATGATGGAATCTGAATCAGTACCACTTGAAATATACCTGTACCGATTTTCATCATCATAAAACACAGGGTGTCCGAAAAAACGAATCATCATTTTCTTCAAATAGGTGATCAGCAAATGTTGTTCTGTGGTTTTTATAGAAAGAAATAATCACAAATTATCATTGAGGATTATTTCAAATATACATGTACCAATTTTCGTCATTTGAATATACAATGTGTCTGAGAAAAAAATTAAAAAGGATAGGTAAGCAATATTTTTTATCCTGATAATTCTTCACTCAAAATAAAAAGATGAATCAGGATCACTTGGAACATACCTGTACCGATTTTCATCATCATTAAACACAGGGTGTTCGAAAAATCGAATTAATATTTTTGTTGAGTTGATGAAAAAATATTGCCTACTTTTTCGTTTTAATTGTTTTCTCATACACATCGTATTTTTGAATTCTTCTCAAAAATAATACAATACTACATTTTCTGATCACCTATTAAAAAAAAACATAATCCGTTTTTTCGGACACCCTGTGTTTTATGATGATAAAAATCATTAAAGCTGTTTTTCGAGTGATCGTGATTCAGAATCCATCATTGTTTTTTGTAAAAAAAAATCCCTAATAGTACTTTCCCAAATGTGGGTCAATAAAGTTGGTCGCAGTTGGCCATGATTACAGTTCATGAGTAAAATCACTCTCTTGTTGGATGGGAATTTCAAATACCTATCCAACAAAGAAAAGTTTTTTGAAATCGGTCAGATAATAACAATTTTACCGGGGTGGTAAGTCCTTAAGGTGGACACACTGTATGATCGTCCATTCAACTGAATCCGAATCTTTTGTTATTCCTGAAACATTGTTCCTCTTTCTCGTGGATGCATACTCCATAATTGCATCAGTAGTGAGTATATTATTTTCAAAGTCGATGCTGGAAGCAACTTATGCAAAAAATATCCGCCGCGTGCCGCCTGTCTCTTTGAATTTCAAAGGAACTGGTATCACGCAGCGGATATTGTTTGCTTTCAACTTCCTCCAATTGACTTTGAGAAGACTGTACTTTTTGTTCAGTGGTTTGAATAAATTGTAACCTGTACATAACACTTATGCCAAAACCGTTATTTTTTTTTTCGTTAGTTTGATCGTTTGTTGTATTTTCTGGTCATCGTCGAACTGTTTTCAGAGATGGATTAATATTGTTAAACATGAGGTTTGTATTTAATCAAGATAGTCAACTTCCATCACGAGGACTCAATTACATTGTACATAGAATTGTTGTAGAAGAGGTGCAAAAAGCGAAAAGTTAGTAACCAAAATTTTTTTTCATCGATTTGCATAAAATGTTGATCAGATACAAACTGTTTTACATATTATTATTATTACTTTTAGTAATGCCTTGTGGCAATATCTAATAAATCTATTATGAAGAAGTTGTTTCATTTGAATTCTTCCTCTACCCCTGATGATTCTGAGATGCTGGTTCTAGAATGGGCTTATACAGGGTATGTCACGACGAGCTTACACTATCTTTATATCGAGAATCAGTCGGGAAAAATCCATGAAAATGTGCATGCTTATATTTCAGAATACGCTCTCTTCATATAAAATATTTTCGACAATGCAGTGTTGCCGCTTATACTAGAAAGTAGTAGCAACATTGATATTTCAAATGGAACACCCTGTATTTCATTGCATTTTTAGATTCTCCTTGAAGAGCTGATTCCATCGATGTATCACACTTGGGGTCTATCGAAAACGATTACAGAGATATAGGGTATTCAAAATCGAGATTTTTCAACTTTGGGATTTTTTTGTGTCGAAACTATTCATCATCAGTCAAAAACAGCTCACATGTCCCCATCTCAACTTTTGAT